GTAGAACACAAAGCAGTTGTGGGCATGGATATTGTCAATTTGCTTGCCATTACTAGTCTTATCTTAATTCGGCGGCATCGTGGGATGAAGCGGCCCGGACCGACCTTACACGTACGCTTACGTGAGACTGGTTCCACCGATTGACATGCACTAGTTGCATAAGGTGGCTGGCGGGTGTCTGTCTCTCCCACTTTAGTCGGATCGGATTCGATGAAAAGGGTCCTTATGAAGGGTAAATAGAAATTGGCATATCACGTTGTGGTTTTGGCGTAGGTAAGAAACGTTCTTGCTAGAAATCTATAGCAGCCACGTAAAAACTTGCAACAACAATTAGAGGACGTCCAACTTGTTTTTGCAGCATGTGCCGTGTGATGTGATATGGCCAAAAGGATGTGATGAATGATATATGAGATTGATCATGTTCTTGTAATAGGAATCACGACTTGCATGTCGATGAGTATGACAACCGGCAGGAGCCATAGGAGTTGTCTTTATTTATTTATGACCTGTGTGTCAACATAAACATCATGTAATTACTTTACTTTATTGCTAAAGCGTTAGCCATAGTAGTAGAAGTAATGGATTTCGAGACAACTTCAAGAAGACACGATGATGGAGATCATGATGATGGAGATCATGGTGTCATGCCAGTGACAACGATGATCATGGAGCCCCGAAGATGGAGATCAAAAGGAGCAAATGATATTGGCCATATCATATCACTATTTGATTGCATGTGATGTTTATCATGTTTTACATCTTATTTGCTTAGAACGACGGTAGCTTAAATAAGATGATCCCTCGTAATAATTTCAAGAAAGTGTTCCCCTAAATGTGCACCGTTGCGAAGGTTCGTTGTTTCGAAGCACCACGTGATGATCGGCTGTGATAGATTCTAACGTTCGAATACAACGGGTGTAAGCCAGATTTACACACGCAATACACTTAGGTTGACTTGATGAGTCTAGCATGTACAGACATGGCCTCGGAACACAGAAGACCGAAAGGTCGAGCATGAGTCGTATAGAAGATATGATCAACATGAAGATGTTCACCGATGTTGACTAGTCCGTCTCACGTGATGATCGGACACGGCCTAGTTGAACCGGATCATGTTTCACTTAGATGACTAGAGGGATGTCTATCTGAGTGGAAGTTCATTGAATAATTTGATTAGATGAACTTAATTATCATAAACTTAGTCTAAAATCTTTACACTATGTCTTGTAGATCAAATGGCCCACGCTAATATTGCCCTCAACTTCAACGCGTTCCTAGAGAAAACCAAGCTGAAAGATGATGGCAGCAACTATACGGACTGGGTCAGGAACCTGAGGATCATCCTCATAACTGCCAAGAAAGATTATGTGCTAGAAGCACCGCTAGGTGACGCACCCATCCCAGAGAACCAAGACGTTATGAACGCTTGGCAGTCACGTGCTGATGATTACTCCCTCGTTCAGTGCGGCATGCTTTACAGCTTAGAACCGGGGCTCCAAAAGCGTTTTGAAAGACACGGAGCATATGAGATGTTCGAAGAGCTGAAAATGGTTTTCCAAGCTCATGACCGGATCGAGAGATATGAAGTCTCCGACAAGTTCTTCAGCTGTAAGATGGAGGAAAATAGTTCCGTCAGTGAGCACATACTCAAAATGTCTGGGTTGCATAACCGCTTGACTCAGCTGGGAGTTAATCTCCCGGATGACGCGGTCATTGACAGAATCCTTCAGTCGCTTCCACCGAGTTACAAGAGCTTTGTGATGAACTTCAATATGTAGGGGATGGAAAATAACATTCCTGAGGTATATTCAATGCTGAAATCAGTAGAGGTGGAAATCAAAAAGGAACATCAAGTATTGATGGTGAATAAAACCACTAAATTCAAAAAAGGCAAGAGTAAGAAGAACTTCAAGAAGGACGGCAAAGGGGTTGTCGCGCTCGGTAAGCAAGCTGCCGAGAATATATAAAATATAAAAAATGTCCTATATTTGTGAGCGTTTGTAATATTCCTTTTTTTTCTTTGAAAAACGTAAGTCAGCCTTGAACTTTCTAAAATGGAAGGCGCACGTGCTCTCCAAAGCACAATATTCCATCCAGGCTCGTCGTGAGATGGAGCGTATGCATGACTTTGTCCATCTCGTATTCTCGTAGTTTGACGCACGTGCCCCATCCAAGAAGCTCAACTAACCCCTGTCGCCGTCCGAGAAATCAAGCAAGACATATACGGCCGTAACTAAGCCGCGCGTGCGGCTCAGTGAAACTTCCAGCCGCGTTCGTCCCCGGCCGGGGGCAAGCCGCCGACAACGACGCCAACATTTTTCTCCATGGACGAACGGACTCAAAGCTCACCCTTTCACCACATGCTCGGTCCTGGAGTTGGCGCAGCGCTCCTCGCCGATGTGTTCTCGCTCCATCGGTCTGCTGCCCGGCCGTCTGCGTCAGGAGGTCACTGTTAGCCAGAGTGGTTGCTGATCGGCGACGCTAATGATCGCCTGGCCAGTCAGTGCTGCCCCGGGACGGCCAAAAACAATACTCCTATTTCCAAAGAGAATCCGGCCGTTGGATAGAACGCAGGTGCTCTTCGTCCTGGAAGCTGGCTGATAGATAGGATAGCCCGCTGGCCTCTTATCTTAATCACGATCCTCTTTTGTTTTGCTTGCTCGGCCTGGAGCTTCCCCTAGTGCGGGGCAGGTCAGTCGCCGCCAATCATTCAGATTAAAATACCAAGGCAGCATTGAGCCTTACTCGAAAGGAGCTGGCGTGTCATGTGTGTCCCTGACTATCTGTCGCGTGGAAAGAAAGTCTTTCTTGCCGATAACCAAATGGAACCAAACTTGCAAGGCTCGCCGGCCCCACTGTTCAGAGGAATAATGGACAGGGCGGCATCTTATTCATTCAGTCCAAAGACACTGTATGTGTGTCGACCAGATCGGCACTACCGGTGTAAAGTGCAAACTGAATCTTAAACTAACGGCCACTTGCCATGCTTGACCAATAATGTGATGTGTCCCCTTCACTGGCTCCCACACAATCATGGTTAATGCAGAATCGTAATGATAATTCTTTTGGCTAATTCTCGAGCCATTCGCTTTTGTATAAACAACGGCCGGCATGCCTTGGTGTGGCCGTGTGGGGACAGTCAAGCGAAAGGCCTTCAGCAATGCAAAGAGAAATTTAGGGTTTCCGATTGTTGTGAAATCGAATGTTTTCATACAGAATTATTTGAACATTTACCTATAGATTAGTGTTTGACCATCTGACTCTTCAGCCTCTCTTACATAAAACTAACTTTCCTTTTATGATGGCTCGTTACCTCTACCCACCCCACTTCTACCACACCGGAGAAAATCAGGTGCACCCAACTTCCACCACACCGGAGAATATCATGTGCTCCCACAATTAGGTGCTCCGATGGTCTCATTTTTTCATAAATATAATTATTTCAATGTTTCAAAATTTTGCGAAAAGCTATGAATGTTTGCAGACAGGTGTCTACAACATGTAAGAAGTTCAAATCAAAATCCAAAATGCAAGTATTAGTTCATGATGCATCTAATTGTATTGATTTCTTATTGTGAATATTGATATTTTTTTCTTATAAAGTTGACCAAATTTTGCTAAGTTTGATTTCAGACAAAATTTATATGCAGACTAACTAATTACGCTCCTAAGTTGAAACAAAAATTACTCATTGCTAATATGGCAACCGGTGTACCATAACCGGCCTAGTAGTTTATGGTGAAGAAAAAGTCCGTCGAGACACATAGTAAAAGTTGAATCTACTCTAAAGCTCTTATCGAGACAAACACATCATTAAAGACAAATCACAAGTTGGATTAGTAGTTTTGTTGACAAATTGCTTTCAGTTATTATATTCAGCATGTATGAGGTCACCAAATTTGTTCCCATGCCGACAAATGCATTTTTGTCTATATGCACGTGTTTTCCCCATCTCATTAGATAAAATGTCTTTGTAATAGAGGATAAATATTTTACACGTAATTATTGTGATTTACTTGCCATTTTTATTGCCAATGCAATTACATATAAAAATTGGATTGTATATGCCAACCGAATCGAAACTTATTAGGAAATCAATAAAACATTAGTTTTTTGATTGAGCAGTATTTTATTTAGTAAACTGTTAAAAGATGGGGCAGTTGAGGCAATTTTCAAGAAAAAAATGCTGAAAAATCGACAAAACTAAAAATAGAGGCGGGGTTAGGAGGGTAAAAGCCGCGACAGAAATTTATGAATGTTGTTGAAGTAGGAGAGAATTTGTGTTAGGCTGCAAAGGGAGTTCAAATCCGTAAAGATCCTGAGACCAGGCTCGTAGCACCGCGTGCTGGTTCCTGGTTGCAATAGAGTTTTTATAGAGATTGTAATATGAACTACATACGAAGCAAAATGAGTGGATCTACGCTCTAAACTACGTCTATATACATCCGTATGTAGGCCATATTTTGAAATATCTAAAAAGACTTATATAGTATTTAGGAACAGAGGGAGTATTAACGTACTGTAATCCTACTGTTTTGAAATAAAACTTCCTTTACCCGTAAAAAAGAAGTTTATGTAGTGTTCAAACAGATGAGCCAGATGCCTGGATTAGCAGAAGCATTTATATTTACACTCACTAATCCACAGTTCACGCCACGTCAAACAAAGCGGCGAAGTCGCAGCCACCACCTCCTCCTCTTGGCTTCCGGCCACCTTCCGGCCGAACCAGCCAGACCCCTCCCACGTCCCCATCGGTCCGACGCACCCGACCCCGCAGAGGCCCCACCCGTCATACTCCGCGCCCATATCCTCGCGCAAACTTATAAATTATTCCGTACACGCAAGGCTTGGCGCAGGGAGCCGCCCCATTTTACTCCAACCACTCTCTCTCCCCCGCTATCTGCTCGAGCGTTTCCCCTCTCTCGCTCTCCTCCCAACGTAAGCCGACCCCGACCCCGACCCCTGTTCCACCCTCCCCCGCACACCAGCTGCTCGCCGAAATGCCGGCGCGGGGGCTCCTCCGCGCCCTCCCGCTCCTCCTGGCGCTGCTGCTCGCCGGCCCTCCGTACGGCGCGGCCGCGGGCAACGGGACGTGCCCGCTGGACCTGACCTACGTGCCCACCTTCCCGTGGGACCCCGCCCCGTGCGCGGGGGCCGCGCCCAACATGACGGCCTGCTGCCAGACGCTGCTCTCCGTGCTCGCCATCGGCCTCGCCGGCCGGCTCCGCTCCACGGGCCAGTTCCGCGTCCCGTCCGCGGCGGCCTCCGCCGCCTGCATCGCCGACTTCGCCGACGCGGTCGCCGCGGCGCCGGCCTCGCTCCCGGGCGCCTCGCTCGTGCACTCCTGCTTCCCGTCGCCCGACGAGTTCGCCGTCTCCCCGTCCTTCTGCGCCGGCGTCACCACCGCCGCCGAGTACCGGGCCGTCGTCGGGAACGCCTCCGTCGCGGGCCTGGACGCCGCCTGCGGCCCCGACCTCTCGTCCTTGCCCATCTGCGACCGCTGCCAGACCGCCGGCATCGTCGCCACCTCCCCCCTCATCGCCGCCAGCGCCAACGCCACGGCCGAGTCGCAGCGGAACTGCTTCTACCTCACCGTCATGTACGCCGCCGGCATCTCCAGCGCCGAGGGACCCACCTCCCCCACCGCCGCCCATTGCATCCTCGGCCTCGGCCTGTCCACCCCTCCCTCCCAGCGCTCCAAGTCCAACAACGCAGCCATCTACGCCACCACCATCCCAATCGCCTTCATCCTCGCCCTGTCGGCCCTCGCATTCTTTGTCTGGAGAAAGACAAGGCACGCCAAGAAGAAGAAGAGGAACCACACCATCCCTGAGGAGGGGTCGGAGGACCGGCGTCCGCACCTAAGGCCCAACACCGGCTCAATACTCTTCGACATCGCCGAGCTGTCCAAGGGGACGGACAACTTCGCGGACCGAAACCTCATCGGCCGCGGTGGGTTCGGAGTTGTCTACCGCGGCGTGCTCGCGGATGGGTCTGTGGTTGCTGTCAAGAAGATGCTCAACCCAGAAATGGACGGCGGTGACGAGGAGTTCACCAACGAGGTGGAGATCATCAGCCACCTCCGGCACCGGAACCTGGTGCCGCTGCGTGGCTGTTGCATTGTCGACGACGACATAGAGGAAGGGAAGCAGATGTTCCTGGTGTACGACTTCATGCCCAATGGATCGCTCGAGGAGTTCATCTTCCAGGACAGAGTAGGAAGCAGCAAGCGGGCGGCATTGACATGGGCACAACGCCGGAACATAATAATGGATGTGGCAAAGGGGCTGGAATATCTGCATTATGGTGTCAAGCCTGCGATCTATCACAGGGACATCAAGGCGACCAACATATTGCTCGACAATGAGATGCGGGCACGCGTGGCGGACTTCGGGCTAGCCAGGAGGAGCCGAGAAGGGCAGTCTCACCTCACGACGCGGGTTGCCGGCACACATGGCTACCTGGCGCCGGAGTACGCGCTCTATGGACAATTGACAGAGAAGAGCGACGTCTATAGCTTCGGCGTTCTGGTGCTTGAGATATTGAGCGGGCGGCATGTGCTTGACATGACGGCTTCGAATGGGCCAGTGCTGATCACCGACTGGGCGTGGACGCTCATCAAGGCTGGCCAGTCAAGGGAGGTGCTCGACGATGCACTGTCGACGTGCGAGAGCCCAAGAGGTGATGCCATCGAAAGGTTTGTTCTTGTTGGAATCCTGTGCGCTCATGTGATGGTCGCGCTCCGACCGACCATCACCGAGGCGGTGAAGATGCTTGAGGGGGACATGGACATACCAGAGATACCAGATCGGCCGCTGCCATTTGGGCACAACTTTTTGATGTTCAGCGAAGCTGGGAGCAACTTCAGCGCTTCTCCGGCTATCAGCGGCCCTTTAATGGATAATGGGGACATGCTTAGGTGATGTAATTCTTGTGTTTGTTCTGGTCAACTGAAGTTCAGAGCTGTGTGTCATTACCTCTTGATTGTATTGACTTTCTGAATGAGGCATTCAAATGCCCAAAATGGCATTCACATCAAACTTTGTTACTTTGGCACCTTGGCCATCATCACTAACATTCAAGCCACACTGTAACCAGGATAGGCAGCAATTATACAAGCATCTTGACAGGGACAGGAACTGTCTTAGTTAAAGTTATGTGCTGGGAACCAACTAGCGCTGTTAAGTTCATCAAGCCAGACATGAAAAGGAAGATACATTTTTAAGGTTGCACAAGGAAATTGAAGCTGGCAGTTGTGGCCTGCAGGTAGAGGAGCTTCAGTTGACACAGGCCGTGGCAGGATTCGGTGGCCTACTTGTCTTCCTGCAAGTTGGGGTGGCTGGGCTGCAGCCGGAAGGTGAACGGCATCTGGGAAGTGAAATCCCTACCCTGATGGTACCCGAGCTCCATCTCCCTCATGCCGCTGCTCAGGTCGTCCTGCTGGTGCTGGAAACAAGAGGAGAACTTCAGCGATTTCTCAGCTTTTGGGTTACTTATCAGTAAAGCAGAAAGTGCGGTTACCATTCACTGAAATTTTAACCTATGCAGTGAATTATGTTATTACAGTTTCAGTTATTCAATTGGACTGGGTAGAGGTGATTCGGTTTGCAGGGTATGAAGACAGGCATGCTGTTTTGAAAAATAATGCAGCAAGGAACTATTGTAGTGGCGAGTTATTTGGTTGCTGAGTAGATGACTCTGATCAGCCACATTAAGTACTGATCAGTGGTCTAACTGCATTAGCAACACTTTACTGAAACCAAGATAATGCCCTTGGAGGATATGATTATGCTCCATTTCACTAGTTGGCAAAAGATGATGCATGTCTGCAGTTCCGCAGGGTGATTAATTCTAGACTGAAGAAAGCAAGGAAGTGCTCAAGAATTACCATCCTCAGAGCCAGCAGCTTGTGCTCCTCCTCCAGCATCTTCTCCTGCGGTAAATCACAAAGGAGGAGCATGATCAGAATTTTCTTTGCCAATAAAAAGCAGATCTTTGCAAATTCTTCTTCAAGAAACTCCCATGGTGTACAGAAGGAAATGCAAAGAGCAGTGGTAAATTTAGGGCCCATACATTCCTCCTGTGCATCTTCCAGTGGTCCATCTGCAACAAGGAGACGGCACCAACATCAGAGACAGACAACAATATTCCACAAAACAAAGATGAAACACTTGCAAGCTCTGAATTTTGTACACCCAGCATGCATTACCATCTTGTCCCTGAGGTTGGTCTGGCCGTTCGTGAGAGCTTCCTCAATGGCGATCAGTTCCTTGGGCTGCAGGGAGTTCACATCCTCGCCTTTCATATGCCTGCACCGTTAATCAGCTGCCGCAATGAGTCATACTCATACAAACATTGAAGAGCCGCAGGTAGAATTGGAAAGAGAGAAAAAAAATCAAAGCTGGATGGAACAACACTTGCCTGAGCTCGATCTGCATGTTGTCGTTCTCCTTCTTCACCCTGTCGATCTCTGCGCTGATGCTCTGAAAAACAAAACATCTCCAGGGCTTTCAGACTCTGAACATGTTTATTGGATGTGTGCTGAAAGAAACCGCTGAGGTAGATCAGGCAAGAACCTTGTGCTTCTCGTCCCACAGGATCTTGCCGGAGTTGGTCTGGTACTTCTCCAAGATCCTCGGTAGCCTGACAGACAGCAAAGGCAAAGTTAGCAGCTTCGTGACCGGCTTAAAAAGAAGAAGAAGAAGAAGAAGAAGAAGAAACAGAGCCCTTGGCTAGAAGCACAATAAAGGGTGAGAGAGGGAGGAAGGGGAGAACAAGTTACGTGGTCTTGGGCGTCCAGAAGTCGTAGAGCTTGCCGGCGCTGGAGAAGATGACGACGCCGACCTCGGCGTCGCAGAGCACGCCGATCTCGCGGGCCTTCTTCACCAGCCCGGCCCGGCGCTTGGCGAAGGTCACCTGGCGGTTGGACGAGTTCTCGATCCTCTTGATCTCGATCTTGCCGCGCCCCATCCCAACAAGCTCCTCGCTCGCCGAGAAGAAAGAAAGAGGACCCAGGAGCACCCAAGACCCGGAAGACTCCTCCTCCCTTGTCTCTGTGGAGTGTGGACGGCTGGGAGCGGCAGCGGCCTGTGGTGGTGGCGATCTTTATGGGCGGGCGTGAATGCCATGGCCGGGGGGAGGTTGGGGGGAGTAAAGGAGGGTGGCTGCCATGGAGGGAATGGAGGTGAGGGGGCTTTCGGCTCGCCCCAGGGTCGGATGGCCGGAAATGGAAACTGCTCGCGTGCTCTGCTTCGGTTCGTTGCGGTTGGATTTTAGCTGACCCTGGCTCGCTCGCTTGCGTTGGAGGGAAGGGGGCTCCCGTTTGATCGGCGGACACTTCACGCGCTCTCCCATGTCTCTCTCTCTTTCCCTCCTCTTTTTTCCCTTTCATTTCATCCCTTTCCCCTTTATTTTTGCGGGGAGCGTCCTCTCTTCCTTTATTATGGTTCATTCATAGACTCCCTTTTTACCCTTCTCTTTGGCAGTAATTTTTTTCTTGGATTATGTACTTTTTTTAGTGGATTATATACTTTTCAAAAGTAGAGCTAACAACCTAAATCATTATAATTTAATTTCCATTCAGAAATTGCTTACCACATATACCGTGGTCCTAGGCAGTAATCTTGTGGGAGCAGTGCTACAGGTCCGACGATTTTTAAGACGATGCTTGTATGATGATGGAATGAAATTGCTACTTGAACAAGGATCATTTTACAGGAAATTAGTATGATGGAATAAAATCGATTGCCGGCTGGGCCATTCCGGACAGCTTTCCGCCCATGCAGATGTCGGCGGTCGACGTGTGACTTGCGGCAGCTCGTTCGGGCGCGGATGAGCACGGGCTCCGGCAGTGCCCGCGCTGCCCTTGACACGTTTGACGGAATGACCGAACAAGAGTCCGTGCGTTTTTTTTTCTCTTGTCCAATCAGATTTTAGCACAAAACATTAGTTTATTTCGCTCATGATGAATGCTTGCAAACCATAATCATGTAGGAGGCGTTTTTGTCGAACATGATCAAGTGGGAGAAGGCACATGCCGTCCATGATGTCGCGGCTACCAAAATTTCGTTCATATGGACGGGCATTTTTTCGATGAGGGAGAACAAGAAGGAGGAGAGGTCAACCCTATGTTGAATGCGCAAAAGGAAAGGATGAAGTGGGACCGGAAGAGGGCGGAGAAGAAGCTGGAAATTGAGAGGGAGAAGATCGAGTTCGAGAAGCAACAAGCTGCGATCAAATGGGAGCTCGAAAAGGCCAAGACATCTGGTGACATGGAGCTTGAGAAAGAGAGGTTGCAACTCGAACGGGACGTGGAAGATGCGAGGATCATGTTGGCGGACGAGTCCCTCTTGAATGAGCATGTGAAGAAGTGGCTTGTGGACAAGAAGATGAAGATCAACGACTGTAGGAAGTACGAGGCGGCGAGGGCGGCTGCGGCTCGGATGCAGGCAGAGCAGGACGAGCAGGAGCAGGCGCCCAGCCAGTGATCCGACGCCACCCGTCATGTCGGTCATTGATTTCATTTTGTCATGTCCGGTATGTTGAATTATGATTTGCTTTGCTTTCTTTCGAACTTTGGCATTCAGACGGTTGTATCGTTTGATTGACATGCATGGATTTGAGGATCGGAATTTGCTGTATGTGGATGTGCGGCGCCACATTTGAGGAGTGCCTGGTCAGTTCCCGCGGACGCGTCCGAACGCGTTTGAGGGTCGGATTTGTCAAGTCTCGCTGTAGATGCTCTTATCTCTTTGTGTAAAAAAAAAATCTTCCCACAGGAATTATGAGTATCGTGGTCATTTCCTTGTTTTTTTAGGAATGGGCTTTCCACGGATTTCTATTGGAGAATCAACACAAAAGTTAAGCACAATTTGTAGGTGCCTCTCATGTCCGTTTCTCTTTGCCAACGGGAAAAAAAGGAAGCGAGAGGGACAAGAGTGCATCAATCAATCAATCTGATCAAAGGCTCCCTCCCCATCATCCGAAAAAAAGAGGCTCCCTACCCATTGAATGGTCACACGGCCATTCCAGGTCCCCATATTATTGAGAAACAGTATAACGTAGCCACATACAAGCCTCCATAGCGTTTCGAGCGTCTCAGTCGTCGGATCCTTCCAACGTACGCTGTAGATCAGCTCGGTCGTCCTTGGGTGGTTCACGCGCCGCGAAAGCCGTTTCGCGGGCCGCTGCTTCGCAGAGCGAGCGCCCGTTTCTGTCCGTAATCGGGCCAGGAAAGCCCATGTGCAGTCGAAACACACTCGCATGGGCCAGGCTATGTGTTGGCAGCGCTATCCCTTCTCCCTACGATGCCGCCATCGTTAGGGTCCCCGGTCCGTGATGCGCCATCGTTACTTCCCCGCGATGCGCCGCCGCCTTCCTCCGTCCTGCCGGCGAGCTTCCTCTGCGCATCTGCCTCCGCGTATGTGCCCTTCATTGGCCTTTATTCTTCCACTGCAGGCTCCTTCTTTATTGTTCTTAATCTCCGGTCTTGCTGCGTACCTCCACGGCGGCTGCGGCGGCCGCCCTCGACGGCGGCGTCCATCATCGGATGTCCTCCTCCTGCATACACCTCCATCTCCATGCCCTTGCAGCTGTAGCGTGCGTTCCTGTCAATTCTGCAAGTAAGGCTGAAACTGATGCGTGATTATCCTTATAAAGTTCCATTCTCCACCTCCACTGTTTTGTTACTTCTTGGTGATAGTGGAGAGCAGCATCGACACTTGAGCCAAAAATCGTACCTTCATGGTGAAGGATTTGGCTTTCCTAGCTCACCCTCCCCGTTCATAGTGAGGCTTCACGGAGTTTGCTTCCAATCCGAGAGACCAGCATGATCACCAAATTACACATCACCTCTACACATTCCTCTACCTCTCCTGATTTCTTACCAATTCTTAAACTATGTTGCTTGACCTTTTTACCAATTTGTAAAACATGTTGGCAATGTGAAGAATTGTGAGTGAATGACTGAATATCTACAGGGTCGACCGAGCCAGTGAGTGATGCCGTGGTGGCAGCGGTGAAGGAGTTGTTGCGGGCGGTGGCGTCAATCTGATCAGCCCGAGCTCCTTGGTAAGAACTGAGAACATCGGATTCAGGCACCAGCAATTGGCAGCACTCCACTTCTGCAACGACTCCAACGGTAGTAAGCCATGGACCGTTGTTCTGATTTTTTTTCCTTTTTTGGCAATCACCCTGTTCCACTAAACTAACACGTGGAAAACATTTGTATCATCTACGGAGTATATAAGAGTTCGGTTCAGGGGACTCCAAGGATGAGGAGGATATAATGGGCTGGCGCATCGTTGTCGTCCAAGCTCCCTACCTAGATTTTATTCAAGTCAAGGAATATTTTTAGGTTCTTTTCCTAGATGAAACGGAATACCTATTTATAATTAATTCCTAATTATACAAGTTTCCTGTCACCTACTTATTCTCCAGAACATACTACTCAATTAGATTAGCAAACGTCAGAACTTTCTTGATTAATTGTTGTCTTATGGTCTGTCATACTGATGATAACTTTGTTTTCAGAAACTACAGATAACCTGGTGCAAGCCTCATTTCCCTTCACAAATCATGCGAGAGATCCAGAAGGTAATACACAACTAATTTAATACCAGAATCCAACGGTTTCATGTGAAACTTCTGCAAAATCCGATTAATTTTGCAACTAGATGTCATTTCTTGTAGTGCCATTTTTCGTGGTATAAGCAGGATTATGATGTTTGACAGACTTTTGCAAATCCGATTAATTTTGCAACTAGATGCCATTGCTTGTAGTGCCATTTTTTGTGGTATAAGCAGGATTATGATGTTTGACAGATTCTGAAACCCCTATTTTTTTTGGAAAGAAAACCTTACCGGAGTGCACAATACCGACTTACAGATGCTGGTGTAGATGATACAATCACACATGATGGAGCAACCATTGCATGGATGCTGGAATTTGACGATCTAGCAGTGAAGGTGATGCTCTGTTGCATCTCACAGACACCGGTATATGCCATTAATTAATTTTGTTACTTAGTAATTTACACATGAGTTACTACTTCTATACTATTGTTAGTGATGTGAAAAGACCACGTGTAGTTGAACCTTTTCAAGGATGCTACGTATTGTTTATTTATCTTATACCATGTGCATGATACAAAGCCGTCCTACTTTGGCATAGAAGAAGGAAGATATTGCAGCTCTCACAATTTTCATGTACTGATCGAGTTATGGCAGTTTTCCTCAGCTAATCTTGATGATTCTACCTTTTCATCTTAGGATGAACGGGCGCGGCAACACGCGCATTTATGTTCTAGTTTACCGTATTACGGAAACAGGTCTGAAGTAGGAGCTGTTTTACCCGAAAAAAAGAAGAAGCAGGAGTTGTTTGCTAGGCATTAGATCATACAGGGCGTGTTTGGTTGTAGTTTGCTACAGTACCCTTTTGCATGTTCATCTCCATCCTGATTCTTCATATGCAGCCTCATATGCAGGCATGCAGCAGATGCAACCTGTTTGGTTGCATGCGTCACATGAAGGGACACTTACCCCTCTGATGTTTTGTTACCGTTTTTGTGCTTAGGGTGTGAACAGATGCAAACTTCAGCTGTTTGGTTGCAAACAGATGTTTGTGTTCTGCTCACCCTAGTCAAATGTGGTGGCCTTACCACCACATGATCACCACACCGGCAAGCACAACTGACAACAGATCAAAGAGGCAAGCACTAACAGCAAACAAAACAAGCAACCAAATGAGATCAAACAAAGCAAGCAACGGAAATGACAACAGACTACTTAGATTAACAGCAGGGGCATCCTCCTTCCCTGCTCCACGCCAGGGTGCTGCTCCTGGCCAAAATATTAACAAGTTCACAGCACAAGTACTATAAGTTCTAGCGACAGACCATAACAAGTTCAACACTAACACTTTAGTTAACTACATTGCATGCTCAATGTCACCAACGCAGCTGTGCCTGCTG